AAAACCCCCCCAAAAAAAAAAAAAAAATCTCGAGAGGAGAACAGAAGAGAAAAGATGCAATATGACCATTCTCCAGGGGGTGATTTCTCACTTCCTCTTCTCTCTCTCTCTCTCCCTCTCTCTCTCTCTCTCCCTCTCCCCTCTCTCTCTCTCTGTGTCTCTCAAGCACATTCACCCTATGGCAAAAACTTTAAATAAAAACAAAAAAAAAAAGAGAGAGAGAGAGAAAACCCTGGGTTCCACTCCAGGAAGTCTGAGTCACTTAATGTTGATAGGGTCTGGGCATTAGGATTTTTTTTTTTTTTTTTTTTTGGAGAGGTTTTCGCTATAGGGTGCATGCGCTCGCCAGACAGACAGAGAGGGACCGAGAGACAGAAAACAAGGAATAACCACCACCACCACCCCGGGGGGATGGCCATGCCGCAATCCCTTCTCCATTCTCCTCTCGGGATCTTAGGCATGCACGCACACGCGCCCGGTGTGAATTTAAGCCACCAGGTCTGGGACGCGAACCGCAGTAGACTACATGGGAGTCTAGTGACATAGCCATTATGCTAACTGCTGGTCCCTAGGCGTTAGGATTTTTAAAGCTTCCCAGGTGATGGCAGTAAGCAGCCAAAGTCTAGGCCCCCTGGGTCAGGTAGACCTAGTGGGCCAGTGGCTGAGACACACGGCGAGCCTCCGAGATTACCAGTAGGCCTGCTTCTTTGCATGTATGGGGGACTTCAGAAAGTTCATGGGAAAATGGAATTATGAGTTTATTTTGGTACAAAAATTTTGAAATCTTTGCAGTTTTTCCTAAACATTTTTGGAGACCCTTGTGTGTATGTTTTCAAGACTGGAGTAAAAATTACCCTCTACTTTTCCTCCCGTCTATGAAGCTCTCATCCCATGCTAAGGGTTAAACAATTTGGAGAGATACTTTCTATTTCAAAATTTTCTAAAGACCTAAGGAATAGAGTGAATGCTTACTCATTATGAGAAAGTTCAAAAAAATACAAAATGCATAGATTACCAAGGGAGTTCCCCTTTGTTACTCTTGCAATCACTGAACCCATTGAAGCAAATCCTTCTAGAACTTTCTATGTATTTATATGTAGGTTTAAGTAACTATGAATAATTAGGTTTGGGGTGTGTGAGTGTGTGTTTTTATAGTATCATCACCATATATGTTTTTACCCAGGTGGACCCGGTTAGCAGCATGATTTTTTTTTTTTTTTGAGAGATTTTTGCTATAGGGCGCGTGCGCTCACCAGACAGACAGAGAGAGACATAGAGACAGAAAGCGAGAAATCACCCCCCAGGGGGGATGGTCACGCTGCAATCCCTTCTCCTCCATTCTCCTCTCGGGATCTTGGGCACGCACGCACACGCGCCCGGCATGAGTTTTAAGCCACTGGGTCCGGGACACGAACCGCGGTCAACTATGTGGGAGTCCAGCGACATAGCCATTACGCTAACTGCTGGTTCCCTTAGCAGCATGATTTTATCTTTTGACCCGGCACCTCGGGGGTTTTTCGGAGCTGCTCCATGTGGTCCGAATTCATTGTCTGGAAGTGGTGTCCAGTGGTCCCTAACCAAGATGGGCTGTTTTCTCTCTGCTCCCTTGGTGACGGGTGTTTATGATGCACCTGTGGGATTTGAAATGAGACACCCACGGCCACACCACTGGTGCCACGGGGAAGATGTCTCAGGACTTGTGGCAGTGACGAGTAGGATAGGCAGGAAGGGGCTCGGACCCTGGTCCTTCCATCCTCTGGATGTGAGGGCAACCCTGAGGGGCCCATCTCGGAAACAGCTCCCACTGCTGGCCTCTGGGTCATGTCACTGAAAGTTTCCTCCTCTGTGACACATGAGTGACCATGGCACAGAATGGTCAGAGCCTTGTGAGCATTAAATGATTAACTACTTGTAAAATACTTTGCAAAGTGCCTGGCATAAGGAACATGTGGGTAGTGTTAAACATGTTTAACAATTGTGTGGCCTGGGCATCCACCAGTAGCAGGAGTGCCAGCTGGCACCAGCATGTCAGGGTTCTAACAACCACCAAAGCAGTAAGAAAACAGGTGGCCTAGTGGTTAAGGTGCTGGATTCCCACGTGGCTGACCACGGTTTAAGTCCCGGACCTGATGGTTTGAAAATCACGCTGGGCACATGTGCATGTGTGCCTAAAATCCCAGGAGGAGAATGGAGGAGAGGGGATCGCATGTGGCCATCCCCCCAGGGGGTGACTTTTTCACTTTCCCTCTCGCTGTCTCTCTCTGGCACACATACGTGCCCTATGGCAAGAGGGGAAAAAAGGAAGAAATTACAGCGCTACCTCTCTGGTGTTTGAGTTAGCAGAGTCCTTCTCTGACACTTGATGGAGTTCTCCTGCCTCTGTTCCTCGGTTCTAAAGCTTTTTCTCCAAAGACCATTTAATGTGCATGGATGTTTTGTTTTTTCCCTTTATGGAGGAGTCCTTTGGTTCAGGGGAATTATGGAATCACTTCTCCGCCGTCAGCAGGGATCTTTTATTTATTTATTTACTTATGTATTTATTTTATTTATTTATATTTTTTTTGGAGAGGATTTTTTGCTATAGTGCGCGTGCGCTCGCCAGAAAAACAGAGAGAGACAGAGAGATAGAAAGCGAGAAATCACCCCCCAGGGGAGATGGCCACGCTGCAATCCCTTTTCCTCCATTCTCCTCTCGGGATCTTGGGCATGCATGCCCATGCACCTGGTATGAGTTTAAGCCGCCGGGTCCGGGACTTGAACTGTGGTTGACTACATGGGAGTCCAGTGACGTAGCCATTATGCTAACTGCTGGTCCCTTTTTTTTTTTTTTAAACAATTTATTTATTTATTCCAAGACCAAGAGAGGGACCCCCCGACACACACATATAGCACCCCAACAGGGTCTTGATGCTGCACTCCACCTGTCTGTCAGTCCTGGACCACAGGCAGGCATGTGCCTGGTGTTCTCAGGGCGCTCCCCACACCTGACCCATGAATCTCCCGTGTGGGTTGCCTCACAGAGCGTGTGTTTTCCTGCCACACCACCACCTGGCCTCGAGGCCCACTTTTAGGTGGTTGTGTTGAGAGCGAGGCTGATGCCGGGGCAGGGTGCGTGGCCAGCCCCTGGGTGCCAGCGTGTTGACTGTGCTCTCTTGGAAGGTGGCCCACATGAAGAGCAAAGACAGCCGGATCAAGCTGATGAACGAGATTCTGAACGGCATCAAGGTGCTGAAGCTCTACGCCTGGGAGCTGGCGTTCAGGGACAAGGTGCTGGCCGTCAGGCAGGAGGAGCTGAAGGTGCTGAAGAAGTCTGCCTACCTGGGCGCCGTGGGGACCTTCACCTGGGTCTGCACGCCTTTCCTGGTGAGCGAAGCCAGGTTCTTCCTGGCCCATGTTACTTTATGGTTCGTTTTCATACCAAGATATTTTTAAAAGGTCACGATGAGGGGGCTCCAAGGAGTTCTCGGGGAATGGAATTAAGTTTTATTTTGTTGCAAAAAATGTTGAAATCCATGCGTAATTCCCCCCACACACAAATTTTATTTTCCATGAACTTTCTGAAGACCCCACATATTTCAACCTTTTAAAAATGGCCACCATCCTCACCCCCTTATCCGACTCACAGGCCTTAGCTTCCAGCAAACCAGTTCAGAAACAGGGTGTCGCCAGTTCGCTGTGAGACGGGGTGTTGGTACCAGAATGTACACCAGCGCTGTCTGCTTCCTTCACCGAGAAAGTATTCGAGAAGAAAACGTTAACTGAGATAAACAGTGTGCTCAGTCGGTGGTCTTCACCGTGGTGCCTGCTCCATATCTTGTCACCCACTGGTCGCAAACTGAGTTACCGTGACCTGTGGAGCACACGCTGCCTGGCTCTGCCAAACACTCCAGAATCTCCCCTTGTTTATTGCCTGTCTCCACTGAGTGGCCACTCCAGGAGGGCAGGGGTGCCCGCCACGTCCTCAGTGCCTGAAACAAGCCAACGCTTACTATTCACTGTAAAAAAAAAAAAAAAAAAAAAAAAAAATCACTCAGGAAGATAGAGAATCAAAAGGTGATTGTCCCTGTATCTGTCTCTCCTCTCCTCAGGGACAGTTTTGTCTATCTTTCCAGGGAAAAAAAATAAGTTTAAGTGTAAGAGTTACTTTATTTTTAAAGCGTATCCATTTCTTCTGTGAACAGGAGAGGGGATGGGGCAGCACCCAATGGGCCCCTGAGGGTGTGACTCACCCTTCCCTACCAGCTGGCCTCTGGATGTGAACCCAGAACCTTCCCGGGTCAGTCTTGCAGAACCTTATGTTCTCCTGCTCAGCTCCTTCTGGCTTCCTTACAGTTGTTTTTAACATACAGTAGTTGTTTCCTGTCCACAGGGAATATATTCTAATACCCCCTAGTGGATACCCAAGACCGTGGACAGTTCATAAACCCTGTGTGCGCTGTGTTTTTCTGTGGTGATCGAGATGGCCCTCCCTTCGTCTCCCATGTCCATGGCAGACCCACAGTCAGCTGCGGTGTCCTTCACACTGGGTTGTATTCAAGCCACTCCACAGGTGAGCACAACCAGTGGCCTGCAGTTGGCACGAGAAGCCTCCTCTCTGTGCAGTCCTGGGACTCGATGTGCTGTGTGATCCGGGGCCGCTCAGACGCCCTGCCTCCTGCATTGCACGGTGCGTTCTTCTCACTGTCCAGTCCCTCTTCTTGCACTGGAGTACTGGTAGACCTGACCCTCTCCATTTTTTAAGAGTAAAAGTGATGTCAGCCTGGGCGATGTTTGTATACAGTATGTAGTTTATTGTTTTTCTTTATTTTTTATAAGTTTATTTCTTTAGAGAGAGAGAGAGAGAGGCATCTACCCTCACAAAGTCTCATGATACGGTCCTTCCCCACCCTTCCCGGCCAGCCAGGATCATTGGTGCATGGGTCAGGGTGTACAGGTTGACCTGGGAACCAAACCCCTGATCTTCCATAGGTCTCCAGCACCGTAAAGCAGCATACTACCACTGTGCCACCACAGCGGGTCTTATTATTTTTCCTTACATTAATAAGTAGCTTCTGCGTGTTAAGTAGATCTGTAAAATATCCTGTTTTGTGATACTTTTTATTTTATGTTATTTTTTAGGTTTTTTTTTTTTTTTTAAGTTTGTTACCATAGGGCATATGCACTTGCATGAGAGAGAGAGAGACAGAGACAGGGGAAATGAGAAATCACACCCAGAGGGGATGGCCATGCCACAATCCTTTCTCTTTACCCTCCTCCTGGGATTTTGGGAATGGATGCACACACGCCCAATGTAATTTTCAAGCCATCAGGTCTGGAACTCAAACCGTGGTCAGCCATGTGGGAATTGCTTAATCACCACTCCCTGTTAACCCCGTCTTTTTTTTTTTTTTGTAATTTGTCAGAGTATCTGCTTCCCAGAGAGTAAACGGCACAGATGGGAAGAAAACAGCTCCCCCACCCTCGTGGAGCATGATTGCAATGCAAGCCCTTCTCCTCCGTCTCCCCCTCCTTTCTTGGTTTTAGGCACACACATGCCCCGCGTGTGTGTGTGTGTGTGTGTGTGTGTGTGTGTGTGTTTTAAGGTTTTTGCCATAAGGTGTGTACACTCACCAGAGAGGAGAGACAGTGAAGGGAAAATGAGAAATCCACTCCCCGGGGCGCTGGCTATACTGCAATCCCTTCTCTATTCTCCTCCTGGGGTTTTGGGCATGCACACTCACACGCCCAGCATGATTTTCACCAGGTCCAGGGCTCAAACTATGGTTGGCCATGTGGGAGTCTAGCGCCTTAATCACTACACCACTTGCTGGCCCCCAGCATGGTTTTCAGGCTGCTGGTCCAGAACTCAAACCACACAGTCAGCCATGTGGGATCCAGCTGCCATAAACACTATGCCCACAGCTGACCCAATACATTTTATTCTAGAAACAGAAAGGAGTGCATTCACATGGTAGAAACAGTTACAGCTGAGCGGATGCGGTGTGTGTACCTGTAGTCCCAGCTACTCTGGGGGCCGAGGCAGGACTGCAGCTTGGAGGCCAGCCTGAGTGACATGGTGAGAAAGGAAGCTGTCCCGCGTGGTGTGTGCACAGCAGGGCTGCTGGGCCTCAGCACTGGGGGACGGATGCTGTGTCGCCTTGTGGGGCCACCTGTGTAGTGCAGGGTGTTGGGCAGCAGCCCTGGTCTCTGCCATCTCTCCAGTGTGGCAGTTGGAAATGTCTCCAGACATTTCTGCCCGGGTGCCTGCCTGGTCAGAATTTGCCAAGTCGAGAACCTCAGGTTCATAATGAAGGGCCTGCCCCCACCCACTTCCTTAGACTCTAATAATCTTGCCCCCCTCCCTGCACTGGTTTCACGTGAGAGGGAATCCAGGCCCGTATCAGCGTGACAGAGGATCTGTGTGATAAGTGCAGCTATGATGGTCTTCAAAAGGTTCGTAGAAAATATGTATTTTTATGGAAAAAAGGTGTGAGCTACCTGGTCCAGAACTCAAACCACACAGTCAGCCATGTGGGATCCAGCTGCCATAAACACTATGCCCACAGCTGACCCAATACATTTTATTCTAGAAACAGAAAGGAGTGCATTCACATGGTAGAAACAGTTACAGCTGAGCGGATGCGGTGTGTGTACCTGTAGTCCCAGCTACTCTGGGGGCCGAGGCAGGACTGCAGCTTGGAGGCCAGCCTGAGTGACATGGTGAGAAAGGAAGCTGTCCCGCGTGGTGTGTGCACAGCAGGGCTGCTGGGCCTCAGCACTGGGGGACGGATGCTGTGTCGCCTTGTGGGGCCACCTGTGTAGTGCAGGGTGTTGGGCAGCAGCCCTGGTCTCTGCCATCTCTCCAGTGTGGCAGTTGGAAATGTCTCCAGACATTTCTGCCCGGGTGCCTGCCTGGTCAGAATTTGCCAAGTCGAGAACCTCAGGTTCATAATGAAGGGCCTGCCCCCACCCACTTCCTTAGACTCTAATAATCTTGCCCCCCTCCCTGCACTGGTTTCACGTGAGAGGGAATCCAGGCCCGTATCAGCGTGACAGAGGATCTGTGTGATAAGTGCAGCTATGATGGTCTTCAAAAGGTTCGTAGAAAATATGTATTTTTATGGAAAAAAGGTGTGGATTTCAACCTTTTGCACCAAATTGAACTCGTGATTCCATTTTTTATGAACTTTCTGAAGGTCCCTGTGTACTTGTCCGGCTCTTACTTTTACACAAGGAAAGCAAGTCCCACGGAAGCCCATGGCCCTCTAACTTGCCTTCTGTCACGGGGACAGCTCTTCAGCCAGAGCAGGTCAACAACCAGGCTTAGTCTGAGTTCTGTTCCACTAAGGGGGGACAGGGGGTCTTCACAACCCTCCCTTCTGCACGTTGGGGCCTTTGACAAAACCTGGTTTCCACGTTGTCACCCAAACATGCTGGCCCTTGGCATCATTCCCCACCCTGTTCTCCATTGGGAAGCCCCAGTAGAGGAAGCTTAAGAGCAGGGTGGCTCTTCTCGACGTCTGAATTCGCCACCCAGTTTCCAGGTGGGTGGGGAAGGGCGGGGGCCTCGGGCTTCCAGAGACAGAGCGGGCTGAGCTGTTTGTCAGGAAACAGATGAGCCTGGTGTTATTTGGAGACCTTGGCGCTGGCCGAGACACCGAAGCCTCTGACTACATTAGGATAAAATATGTGGCCTGCAGTTCCCTTGGCAGGTGTCTGCTCGTTCTCTCCACTGGCGAATTCCTCTGTTTCGAGGGTGATGGGGTGTTTACCCAGAGGCAGGTGTGATGGAAGGCAGAGACCTGGAGGGGCTGGACAGGCCGGGGGATGCCATCCAGTGGGATCGATGGGACTGTTTTTCTGGACTACAGAGCCTGGCATTTATCATACCACTAAATGCACTTTCCTAAAATAGCGACCCCAGCCGGCTGTCAGCACTGAGCATTTTGCATCTGGGATGATTTGCGAGCTTGCCTGCCCCTTCCCTTGCAGTGCCCTCCGTTAGGTGAACGTCCCCGAGGGATATGTATCCGCTAACCTCATCGGAAGGGTCGTGGCATGCACTGAACAAGCATTAAACGGTCCTGCGTTTGTACTGTGCTTTCTGATGTTCGTACCTCCAGAGCATGGGAGGCTCGGCCAGTGCTGCACGCTTGGCAAATGTATGTATGGGGATAGCTGGCTGAATAAATGCGTGAACGAAGGACCGATACAAACTGCAGTAGTCAGGAACTGTCCGAGGTGGGACAGAGCCTAATTCAAATCATCTAGTGTAAAGAGGGAGAACGTTTCGAGTCACAGAACTGGAAAGTCTAGGAAAGTACCGGCCCGAAGCATGACTGGGGTTTCAGGCATGGCTGGATCTTAGCTCTGCTTTCTCCATGGTGGTTTCTTTGTGAGGCAGCTCACCATGCACTGGGAAGGTGACTCTGGTTTATCCTGTTACCTTGGCAACTCCTGGGGGCAGAAAGCCCGTCTTCCACCATAGTTTCTGCAAAACCATGGGAGTTCACCTCCTTGGCTGCAGTTGGTCACTGAGGCCAGGGAGATAGGATGCGCAGATCGGCCATGGTCTGGGGCCAAGGTAGGAGATGGGATGATCTGTGGCCTGAGCTCACAGGTGGTGACTGAAAGGTTCTGTTTACCAGAGGACAGTGGGGTGCTACTACCAGAAGTGGGAGTAGGTGCTTGGCAGGGAGGAAGAACCGGAAGAACAGGGAGGGTTAGGGTCTACAGGGTTTGAGCTGCAGTTTGGGGATTTGTTCGTTTGCCATGTTCTTCAGAGAAAGCACTTAGGGTGGGACAGTCATTTTCACCGTGTGGGAAGGATTTCTTGTATCCTTGACCATCTCCTGTTACAAGGCAGGGATAGACCTCAGTCCTCTGTTTGCTTACAAGCCCAGGCTTTGTGCTGACCCCACACACCTCTGCCCTTTCCAGACACCCCCAGCCTGAGAACCCGGCTGCACTCGGGTTTCTATGAGACCACGTGTCTCAGGACTGCCAGGCTGGCTCACCCCCAGCCCACAGTGCCGTACCTGGTAGGAGCTCAGTTCATAACTGATGGACATATGACCTCTACAGTTTGGAGAAGCCAGGCCCTGAACCCAGCAGTGGCCACGTGACGTTACCCGGTCTCCATGTGGGCCCTGTGCTCCTGACTGCTGATTGGGTCTCTGGTTGCCAGGGGGACTGTTATGTTCTGGTGGGGAGATGCCTGAGCCCTGGTTTCTTCTGAGTGTACGCTCTCCTGCCCTCAAGTAAATGCACCCACCCACCCACCTAGCCCCACTCAGCTAGCACTCATCCCCTGACGCATCCAGCCACGTACCCGTCCCACCCTCCCACCCACTGACCATCCATCTTGCACCCACCCATCTACACAGACAGCCCTCCATCCTCCCGTCCACCCCTCCCCATTCTCCTTTCCTCCCCCCACACAGCAGATGTCGTCTGAGTCTCTGCTGTGGCCCGGCATCGTCCTGGGCACTGACAGCAGGGCGGTGGGCACTGCTGATAGGAATCCCCGCCATCGTGGAGTGTCTGTGCTGACTGGGGGAGACATTCCATAAAGCACATCCGTGATAAATGATCACAGTGCCACAGAGTAGAAAAGGTGGGGACCCAGGCAGAGCTTGCAGTGTTAGACGGACGGTCAGAGGCTCACCGAGGAGGTGACTGGGCAGGGGGAGAGGAAGGGCGAGTGCAGGACCCTGAGAAGTCCGGGCCCATCCGCAGGTGGAGTCACCACCACACATTTTCCGTGGACTTTCTGCAGACCCATTGTATACGAGTGCGTGGGTTTTTGTTAGGCCTTATGACTGTTACTGCTAATTACAGGGCGTTTTCACCCCCCTCAGAGGAAGCCTGTGTCCACTAGCAGTCACACTGCAGTCCCTCCCCTTCCCCAGCCCCTGAGAACCACCACTCTGCTTTCTAACTCAATAGATTTGCCTGTTCGGGACGTTTCCTAGAAATGGGGCCCGACCGCACACGGCCCCATGAATCTCCTTTCATCAGCAGGGTCAGCCCTGCTGTAGCTCGTGGAAGAATTGAGTTCCTCTCTTATGGCCGAGTACTACTCCACAGTGGATGGAGTTGGGAGGTTTGAAGGTTTGAGTGCAGGGGGCCTTTGGGTCAGAGGCACTCATGTCCCCACTGCTGA